ACATTCACAATACATATCAAGCAAGCATGCAAAGAGTGTATTGGCAGCGGAAAATAAAGCATGCAACTTGCAAGAATGTAAAGGGAAGGGTTTGGAGAATTCAAACGCAATTGGAGACACGGATGTTTTTCCCGTGGTTCGGATAGGTGGTGCTATCCTACATCCACGTTGATGGAGACTTCAACCCACGAAGGGTAACGTTTGCGCGAGTCCACGGAGGGCTCCACCCACGAAGGGTAATGGTTGCGCGAGTCCACGGAGGGCTCCACCCACAAAGGGTCCACGAAGAAGCAACCACCCACAAAGGGTCCACAAAGAAGCAACCTTGTCTATCCCACCATGGCCATCGCCCACGAAGGACTTGCCTCACTAGCGGTAGATCTTCACGAAGTAGGCGATCTCCTTGCCCTTACAAACTCCTTGGTTCAACTCCACAATCTTGTCGGAGGCTCCCAAGTGACACCTAGCCAATCTAGGAGACACCACTCTCCAAGAAGTAACAAATGGTGTGTAGGTAATGAACTCCTTGCTCTTGTGCTTCAAATGATAGTCTCCCCAACACTCAACTCTCTCTCATAGGATTTGGATTTTGTGTAAAGAAGATTTGAGTGGAAAGCAACTTGGGAAAGGCTAGAGATCAAGATTCATATGGTAGGAATGGAATATCTTGGTCTCAACACATGAGTAGGTGGTTCTCTCTCAGAACATATGAGTTGGAATTGTGTATGTGTTCTGATGGCTCTCTCCATGAATGAAGAGGAGGTGGAGGGGTATATATAGCCTCCACACAAAATCCAACCGTTACACACAGTTGTCCAATCTCGGTGGGACCGAATCAACAAACTCGGTCAGACCGAAAAGGTAAACCTAGTGACCATTAGAGATTTTCGGTGGGACTGACATGCAACTCGGAAGGACCGATATGGTTAGGGTTTGGGCATAACGTAATCTCGGTGAGACTGATTACACAAACTCAGTGAGACCGATTTTGGTAATTAGCTAACCAGAGAGTTGGTCAGGCAAACTCGGTGGGACCGATTTGCTCTTTCGGTGAGACCAAAAAGTTACAAAAAGGAAACACTGAATTTACATTGCAATCTCGGTGGGACCGATTCACTCTTTTGGTGAGACCGTAAAGTTATGAAAGGGAAACAGAGAGTTTGCAATCCCATCTCGGTGAGACCGAGATCCCTATCGGTAGAACCGAATTGCTAGGGTTTGGCAGTGGCTTATGACAAGTGAAACTCGGTGGCGCCGGATAGAAAGAATCGGTAGGACCGAATTTGGCTTTGGGTTTAGGTCACTTGTGGATATGGGAAAGTAGTTGAGGGTTTTGGAGCATATCACTAAGCACATGAAGCAAGAGGCTCATTAAGCAACACCTCATCCCTCCTTGATAGTATTGGCTTTTCCTAAAGACTCAATGTGATCTTGGATCACTAAAATATAAAATGAAGAGTCTTGAGCTTTTGAGCTTGAGCCAATCCTTTGTCCTTAGCATTTTGAGGGTTCCACTTTCACATCCATGCCATGCCAATCATTGAGCTTTCCTGAAATAATCATCTTGGAATAGCATTACCTCAATGAGCTATATGTTGTTATGAATTACCAAAACCACCTAGGGATAGTTGCACTTTCACCAACTCTAAATCATGTGGTGGTTCTAGATTGCATTGAGCAGAAGGTTACAACTGAGATGAATGGGGCCCTTGATGCCCCGTATACGAAGTAGGAGATTTCCGATGCACTATTTTAGATTGGGCCTCTTAAGGCTCCAGGTATGGACGGTTTTCCTGCTCGTTTCTACCAGAGAAATTGGGGTGTTCTTAAAGAGGAAATTGTTGTTGCAGTGTTGGAGTTCTTTCACACCGAATCATGCCGGCGGGTGTTAATGACATAGTTATAGTCTTAATTCCCAAGGCCCCCAATCCTACGGAACTAAAGGATTTTCGGCCTATTAGCTTGTGTAATGTTGTTTATAAAATTGTTTCGAAGTGCTTGGTTAATTGTCTTTGGTCTTTGCTTTCGGAGCTTACTTTGAAAAACCAGAGCGCTTTTATTCCACGATGGCTGATTTCTGACAACTCGATTATTGCTTTTGAGTGTATCCACCATATTCAAGCCCTCAAGGGTAATGCTGATTTTTGTGCTTGCAAGCTGGATTTATCAAAAGCTTATGATCGTGTTGACTGGATTTTCTGGAGAAGGCATTGTTAAAATGGGGTTTCTCGCAGGCTTGGATTTCTCGTGTCATGGCCTATGTTACTTCGATTAAATATTCAGTCAAGCTCAATGGGAAACTTCTAGATTCATTTTCACCCTCGAGAGGCCTTATCCAAGGTGACTCGTTATCTTTGTTTTTATTCATATTTGTTGTTGATGCGTTGCCTGCCTTGGTGAACAAATCAGTGACATCAGATGGCTTAGAGGGTGTGAAGATTTGTCGCAGGGCTCTGGTTATTTCACATCTGTTGTTCGCGGATGATTCTCTGTTATTTTTTAAAGCGAATATACAGCAAGCAGTGATGGTGAAAGGTTTGTTGAACACTTATACAGCGGCAACGAGGCAACTTATAAATCCGTCTAAGTGTTCCATCCTTTTTTGACAATTGTCCTTTGGTTGTTTCGATGGATGTGAAAAATACTCTTGATATTACACAATAGGTGTTTGATCCTAAATATATGGATCTACCTGTTTTGGAGGGGAGAATGCATAAGGGAAGATTTGAGGCTGTACAGGGACATATGGGGAAGAGGTTAGTTGATTGGAGTGAACAATATATGTCATCGGGTAATAAAGAAATTCTTATCAAGTCAGTAGCCCAAGCTATACCCACATATGTGAAGAGTGTGTTCGGATTACCTGCTTCAGTCTGTGATGACTTGACGCGCATGATGAGGCAATATTGGTGGGGAGTTGAGAAGGGTAAAAGGAAGATGGCATGGTTGAGTTGGGACAAGATGATGCTACCCAAGTTGAAAGGTGGTCTTGGCTTTTGGGATATGAGTGCGTTTAACCAAGCATTGTTAGCAAAACAGGCTTGGCGTTTATTGGATAACCCTGAGAGCTTATGTGCACGGCCGCTTAAGGCGAAATACTATCCGAATAGGAACCTTTTGGACACAATATTTTCAGGCAATGCTTCTGCGTAGAATTGAGTATGGTTTGGATCTTGTCAAAAAAGGTATGATATGGAGGGTTGGAGATGGGCGTTCTATTCGTGCTTGGCGGGATCCGTCGATTCCTCGTGGCCCATCCCTTCGCCCTATAACACCAAGAAGAAATTCTCGACTGAAACAGGTCTCAAATTGTATTGATGAGCATGGTGCAAGGATTCGGGAAAAAGTTGAGGAGTTTTCCTGACCTATGGATGTGATAAAAATATTGAAAATCAAAAGTTCGCCACGTCTCCGGGAGGATTTTTTGGCTTGGCACCTGGAGCGGTTAGGCAGGTTCACAGTAAAAAGTGCTTACCGTCCAGCTACTCTACATCATGATGATGATTTCGGTGGGGGCGCTAGCGGCGCTCTCCCGAGAGGGGAGCGTCCATTGTGGAGTAATATTTGGCATACTATCGTGCCTCCGAAGATGAAAATCTTAGCCTGAAAAGCGGTGTTAGGTGGGTTGGCCACCTCAGAAAATAAACAGTACGAGCACTTGTCGACTCGGGCATCATGTCCTATTTGCGATCGGGAAGTCGAAGGGTCATTCCATGCCCTAGTTGGGTGCGCCCATGCACAGGGCCTTTGGGATGCGACAAGTGTTGTTTGGCCTATTCCGCGCAAAGAACAGGTTCTTGATACCGGCAATGATTGGCTTATGCTGCTCTTGGCAAGTTGCTCGGACATTGCACGTAGTATGATTGTGATGCTGGTGTGGCGCATATGACAGGTTCGGATTGACATCACACATGGAAAGAAGGTCGCCCCAGCCCAGGTCTCGGCGGAATTTCTAGAAAACTACATGAGGATGATTTTAGATGCTCGGAAGTTCACAACGGGAGAAATGTTGAAGGGAAAAATGGTAGTCCAAGATGTATGGGAATGACCAAAGCGTCATTGTTCTCCCCAAGTACTACAGTGGCCGACACCTCCGAAAAATATGTTGGCCTTGTCTGTATATGGTTCCTTTCTGGAGGAGGATGGCACTGCAGCGGTGGGGATGATCCTTCGAAAATGTGATGGCTCAGTCATCTTTGCAGCTTATCGATATATATTTAATTGCAGTGAAGCTCTAGAGATTGAGATACATGCATTGATGATTGGTATGGCGCTTGCTACACAACATACAGAGCTTCCGGTGTTGGTTCAGTCAGATTCTTTGACTGCCTTATCTTGTTTTTCACATTCTAGTTTAGATCATTCAGTGTATGGTCAGTTAGTAGCTGAAATTAAGGCTCTAATGATTGATAGAGTTTTTGTTTCGCAGAAACTTCATAGGTCACGTGATAGTGTTGCAGATTGCCTAATAAAATATAGTCGCTCTGAGCGAGCTATGGCTATGTGGCTTGGCAAAAGCCCTATGTATTGAGGATCTCTTTCCCAAAGATTATAGCTCTACCATGATGGAATAAAACCCTTGTGATCTAAAAAAAAGTCTAATCTGATGAAGCTACAGACTTTTTCAGGAAAAAAAAGGCCCGGAGGCCCACCGAAAAGGCATGCCGACATCCTGGAACGCGATGACCCACCATGCACACATGGCGATTGGTACTGGTCCACGTGGCTCCGGGCCCCTGTGTCCGTGGCAACGTGTTGGTTCTTCTCGTGCCAACCATTCCCCTGAAATGCATCATCACTTCTCAGTTCGGCCAAACACCACCCAACCATCCCATGTGTCCTTCCACCCCCGGTGGTAGTGTACAACACAAGAGCCACCACGAGCTCCCAGTGTCTCCTCATTCCCTTCCCTTGGATCGGGAGCAGAGCAGGAACAGAAAGGTCCGGCGACGCGCGGATCAGCCGAGACTCCGTACCGTCGGATTTCGTGGAGGGAGGCCATGGAGAAGGGGCAGAAGGTGGAGGGCGAGAGGGCCGCGGCGGCGGCCGCGGCCACGCAGCGGTGGGTGATCGGTGTCGGGTTCTGGGTGCAGGGCTTCCGGCTCTTCCCCTGGCTCGGCGTCAACTTCTTCCTCAAGGACGCCATGGGCGTCCCTTCCTCCTCGCTGCAGATCCTCCAGGCCTCCGCCACCCTGCCCATGGTCGCCAAGCCGCTCCTCGGCCTCCTCTCCGACGCCGTCCCCATCCGCGGCTGCCGCCGCCTGCCATACGTCGCCATCGGCGGTACGCCCCCTCCCTCCCTCCCTTTATCCCCCCACGTTATCGCATTGCCTTTCTTTTCAGATCTACCAACAACGCCACCTTCCGTAATCTGCGACCGACACCATGATCCTCATCGTGATTCCATACCGCCCTTTACTTTAACGGATAATAACGTGGAATGCTCGGAACCACGCTCGATTCCGTACTCACCTTTACCCGTTAACCTGGAATGATCGGAACCACGCTCGCGATGCAGAATCATAATTCCCCGAGATTTTCACCTTCCCTGTACTGCCCATGTTGCGCGCACAATTTCGCCTTTTCACTGCACTTAATCACTGATTAGACGAGTCGTGGGAATTCTGAGCAGTGTAGGAACGTGCAGTAGGATATTTTACTCTTTTGCGCTGTCTTTGGAGAGAAAAAAAAAGAAAAATGATAAGCACGGTAGAGCTTTCCACATTCCTTTCTTGCGTGCTGTTCACTTGTTTGTACATCGGTGTCATGTGGCGAGCGACAACGCTGCAAAGAATATACTTGAACGCAATTGTCCTCTTGATTATTCACATGCGTTTTGTCTTCTTTCACTTTCACTTTCCCTTTTCGTTTTTTCTTCTGATTACCATCATTCTCCATCTTTCGGCGGAGTAGCCTTTTGGAGTAGCAACCAGGGTCGCATCGTGTATCTTTTCTCAGCCTTGGATGTGGCCCTTGCCGTGCACAAGTGTTATGATGAAATTCCAAAGATGGACGGATGGTGTGCTGTCATATCCCAGCATTACAGAACTTAAGATTGCCCGTCCTCAGATTCTGTGCTGAAGTCTTAATTTGTGCAATACCATTAAATTTTAATTGACTAGAATCACTTTGGTCTTTGATTCTCCTTTTCAGCTCGCATCATTTAGAAGTTAGCTCAATCCATTGATCCCCTTGGTTTAGATATCCGAGCAGTTAAATAAATTCAGGGAGCTATGGCGATTTTAGTGACTATGATATCTTGTCTTTCTCGATCACTTCATGAACAGATTGGCATAAAAGAGCCCAACCAAGTGCTTTCGAGCTTGACAGACCAATTGTTGGAAGTCCACTGATATTTTGTTAATATATAATTAGCACAATCAGATGCATAAGGAAAATTAGTGTAATTTACTCATATTTATCACCCTGTCAAATGCCATAACTGATGCTCCTGAAGATGCGCACTGTGTGCTACACTACATTACAACTGTTTCTCCTAATATAGCTAACTACTCCTATATTCTAACATAACTTCTTTTGCTGTGGTTGCAGCTCTCTTGCAGGCAGTTTCATGGTTAGGAATTGCCCTCTGGCCGTCTCTTTCTCTTCCGGTTCTTACCATTTTTCTCCTCTTGAGCAACTTTGGTGCATCCATATGTGAGGTTGCCAATGATGCCATTGTAGCGGAGGCCGGGAAGCAAGCAACCTCTTCCTCAGGGGGTCAGCTTCAATCCTTTGCTTGTATGTTTGGTGCTTCTGCTGGCGCGTTAGGAAACCTCCTAGGTGGCATTGCTCTCAGCTACTTTTCCCCCAAACTCATGTTCCTATTTTTCGCAATCGTTCTCGTGCTCCAGTTCTTCACTACTGTGGCTATATCTGAGAGCTCCCTCAAACTCCCAAAGGCGACTACTAATACATCGGTGATTTCCAGCATCCGTAAACAAACCAAAGAGCTGTCCTACGCGCTCTGTATGCCGGAAATATTCTGGTCAATCATATGGTTTTCAGTGTCCTATGCTGCCATACCGTTTCTACTCGGGACCATGTTCTTCTACCAGACTGAAGTGTTAAGACTTGACTCATCCATCATCGGTTTATCCAAGGTTTTTGGGCAAGTGGCTCTCTTGGCTTGGAGCATGGCATACAACAAGTGCTTCAAGACAACGTCTGCACGCAAGATCTTATCAGCTCTGCAGTTCATCACAGCGGTCGTAATGTTGTCAGACGTGTTATTTGTCCAGGGAGTATACAGGAAGGTGGGAATATCAGACTCCTTGTACACCATTGTGTTCTCAGGGCTGCTAGAGGGCCTCATGTTCTTCAAGGTGCTACCCTTCAGTGTTCTTATCGCAAGCCTTTGCCCCTCTGGGTGCGAGGGATCGGTTATGGCCTTTGTCATGTCTGCACTTGCCCTGTCTATTATCATCAGCGGATATCTTGGGGTTGCGCTTGCTGAATTCATGGGAGTATCTGGAGATGATTTCTCTGCACTGCCGGTTTGCTTGTTGATTGAGGCTGCATGCACAGTGCTGCCGCTATTTTGCTCATCATGGATTAAAGAGAGGAAAGGGAAGGAGAAGAAGGAAGAATAGAATCCATCTGTAGGATCCCTAGGATCCCAAAGAGATTGTATTGGTGCCTGCGAGGCTTTCCTTCAAACTTTTGTCGGTGCCTGAGTATGGGGCTGCCTAAATTCCAGTTTCATCATATGTGAAACAACCCAAGAGAGGATTAGGTTCTTCAGTTCCGAGCGCTCTGTGGCCTTTCAGGAATCGTCTTAAGAGGCAAGAGCAGATATACTTGTGTGCCATCATTCTTTTCGTCTTTCAGGAGCTATATGATAAATTTGGGGGTGTAAGTAGCTTTTCTTTTTTAGCTTCTGTAAGGCTGTAACTAGTTTTTTCTGAGATGTGTAACTAGTTGAACCCTACATATTGTGTATTTACTTTTATTGTCTTTGGTCTGCCAGTTCAGTTTGCATTTCTTTTCATTCTTTGTGTGTGGAAGAGTCTATGTCCAATTGTCCATTTTTCATGTAACGAACTGATTGTACCTATTTCCGAATGACTAATTCAGCAATTTAGGTGAGCACAAGTCATAACGAACTCTATGGTTCTAGGATACGATTTTGGTTAGTAGAATCTACATTTTTACGATTTGCAATCCTACATTTTCAGACGCTCCACCCAATGTTTCTCTATGCAGCCATGATAAACTCCAAGGATAGATGCGTCTTTGGCGACCTTCTAAAGTTTGACGCTTTACTTTTGGGTAAAAACGGTTACTTGTAGGGAACACATATAAGGAGCTAAAGAACACATAAATCTTTATACTGGTTAAAAACACATACTCTCCAAAAGCTGTATAACACACATAAATTGTCAATAGGGAAGGTCAATTTCATGCTGTGAGGCTAATGGTGCGACTTATGAGCTAGCTATAAGCATAGTTTTCTTAAATAATTTGTCTTGTACTCCCTCCCTCCGTTTCATATTAGTTAGTTGTCGCTGATTTAGTACACGTTGTACTAAATCAGCAACTACTATAGAACAGAGGGATGTTCCTCCTACAGCTGCTTACTTGCAAATCTTGTGTGTAAAGGCTGTTTACAATTATAATTATCAATTAAGTTAGTCATGAAGACCTTCCCTCAAAATCAAAAAGGGTCCAGTGTTCTGGGAAATGCGTACACTGATAAATGCACATACCTCTTTGGCCGAAAACCAAAAGGCACATGTTTCTTCACACTGATAAATGCACATATCACGCACACACAAAAGGAACAAAGTATACCGTTATCACTTATCAGTTGACAAATTGCTTCTGAATAACCAGAAAATGTGGCTGTGAGATATTATTGCATGCACCACAGCCCACAGCCTTATGACTAACCCTAGACTGCACGCAGACCATGGCCAACAGTTCGAGGGCCATTTGCCGCCGCAGTCGAAAAACACAACCGGCCACCCTAGGCACTAGCTCTAAGTACCTGAAAACCGGCACCGATTGGCAAGTGATCACTAGGATGGTGGAAGTTGGGCAGGCCTCCTTCCACATCCGGGGAACCCCCTCGTGGGATCCGAAGTAAGCTGGTAGGTTTTATTGAACCGCCTTCCGACAGGAATATGTAGTCCAATGTTCCAGTAAAACCTGGAGTGCAATTTGTGAACTCCGGCTCCCCTCCGTTCTCAGCATACAGGCTGCGCAATTTGATCAGGGCTTCGTCCGTAGATTCGGAGCCAGCTGATACAAGGTAATTGTATACCTGGAAGTGATAGTAACAAATTAGCTGAGGTGACAGAGAGAACCAAATTGAATGAGGTGGCACACGAAACTGAATCTGGGTTAGATTATCCACACATGAGAGACAAGGATAGAATGCTTTGTTTTTGGCATAAACAAGGGCTCAAAAGCATAAAGTAGCTATTGGACCGCGCATTGCCAGTCCCTACACAAATATGTTTCATCATGATAACAATATGCCACACACATAACTGGAATAGATGTCAGCACATGGACAAAGTTCCCAATATCTTTCAGTAAAGCCATGGAGCTAAAACAATGTCATTTTGGCCAGGTCATTTATGTACAAGTCACGTCGTCTGGATAACGACAAGTAATTCTGGACGGAGGTGATATTTGATAATATTTCTGTGTAACTAAACTCTGCAATCTGTAACAATAATTGTAACAATAGTGGCAAAAGCTTGAGAAAGCAATGCAGAAAATGCAAGAAATACCTTATCACCAGGGGTGGAGTTAAAATCACCAGCAATGATCACAGAAGGTTTACAGGTGAACTTATTTGCGATAATTTTCTCAAACTCAGAGACTTTTGAAAGAAGATACTTTGCTTGAGCCAACTTCACATCAATCCATTCTGGATCCCTGTAAAATCAGGTTTTACAGGTTAACATGCATAAGAAACCCATACACGTGTTGAAAACTAGCTTCCATCAAATACGTATAGTAAAATAAAATAGGCAAAAATATGAGTCGAATGACGAAAACATCTTTAAATCACAGAACAGTAGAGAACATGAGCTATTTTACTTGCCAATAAATATGTGTGTTCGCCACAATCAGGATATGCTCACAAGGATCGCCAAGCTTGAAAGCAGCAAGTAAACCAACGCAGTCACGCTTCAATCTCACACGTGGATCATTTGGATCTCCACGTTTCTTATTATCTTCCTTTCCACTAGATTCTGTCAGAAAACATCATACAAAATAATCGTAAGCACGTCATCAGAACAAAGAACATATCCAGCCAAATTACAGGGAGAAAAAATGGAGCACTAGATAATGATGACAGACAACACATCTTCCAAGAAATATAGTAATTAGGCAATGAAAACCAAAAGGAAAATCAGCCCTTTACGGACGTGCTGCAAAAAGATTTAAATAAGTATTTTTATTTACTTATTAAGTGCCCAGTGTCGGTGTACTAGAGTAGGGGTACCCTAGTATCCCGAACTTGTGCACGGGCAGTTGCAGCGCCGCGCGGCAAGGCTTGCCGGACGACCGCCAGAGTCCTCCGTGGGTTCCTTTGGAGCCATTCAAGAACAAAGCATTCAAGATGAAGAGACAAGGTCCCGACAAGAGGATCTTGCCGGGAAGAGACAAGGCCCCGGCAAGAGGAGCTTGCCGGGAAGGCCAACCACGGCACTTCAAGAAACTTGCCGCGATGCACCGCACGTCCCGGCAAGGTCCGGTGAGCGACAAGCTTCTGGACTCGACAAGACGATGACCCCGACAAGGTACTCGCCGAGGGCCCGCTGCCACTCTGTACCCACGCTCCAGCGCACCCACCCGCGTGTCACCATGAGGCTTCCTCAGGGGCGCGTGGCGGGAGCCTGTGCAGCCAGGGGTACGCGGTGGCAAGCGGAGATGAAGAGAAGGCCATCGTGGCAAACGGTGGCGCTCCTAACGGTCACTTTTTGCACTGTTTAGGCAACTCAGACGGGCATTCAATGACCTTGTCCCCTGCCGTCAGAGTTAGGTAGGGTGCACTGTGTCCACAGTAGCGGTAGCTGCACCTACCGCATCCTTTTTCATTTTTACCCTTCTAGTCTACGTTGCCATCTGTCGATGACCCCTTGAAAGTATAAAAGGAGGCCCAAGCGCAACGTAGAGGGGGTTCGGCTCATTCGAAACATCAGGAACACTCTCACGCTCGGTCTGGCAGCGTCCATCGCTCCTGAGCAAGAATTGAATACACACAAACAAGCAGCAGTAGGGTTTTACGCATCCGTGCGGCCCGAAGCTGGGTAAAACTGCTCGCGTGTACTGCCTCGATCCGCTCTTTGCGCGGCCTCCGCCCCCCTCCGAACCGAAAGGGGGCCCGGTCCTCATAGGTGTTGGTGGATCAGTTTCCCCGACATCTTTGGCGCGCCAGGTAGGGGGCGTCGAGATTGTGCGAACCCGATCCGGCGTGCACGCGAGCTAAATCTTCATCGTCTTCATCGACATGCCACCGAAAAAGAAGGATTCGGAGGCAGCTGTTCCGTCTGCGTCGCTTACCGCCTCCGGAGCAAACGGGTGGTGGAGTGGACGCCGGCGGAAGAATGGGCGTCGACGAGGGAGCCCTCAGTGCGGCCAAGTCCAAGGACAAGGCGGCACAGACCTCGGCGTCCATGCGCGCACCGCGCCCCTCTCAGGAGGCGCGGGACCAGCAGCGTCATGGCGTTCGCAGCGCCATACGTCCGCTGGGCCAAGATCAAGCTGGTGGTTCTCGTGGCGCTCAAGACCAACATGCACGTCAACATGCTGGCTCGAGCGAAGTACGGTCGCCTGGACGGGGCACTGCTCCTTCTAACGTGGTTAGGAGTCCGAGCACGCCCCACTCCTCACACCGTTCACCTCCGCCGCCCACCACTCCAGCAGAAGCCTTGGCGCGAGCTCAACTGCTCCTAGACTATCCTCC